TAATATAGTGATTTCCCAAGCTTATCTTAGATGTGGAACAAGGCCGAAAGTAGGGGGCACCCAGTGAGGATCGAACTCACTACTCAGTAGTAATTGTTCTAGCGACACAAGGCTGCTAACCATTACACCACCTCGAGGTGCCCTACTGTCATTTAATATAGAAAGTTTGTAGTTTGTGTGTGTGTCAGCTACATACCCTGAAAAGTAATTCCATATTGTTAGTTGCTTGTCCGATTGTGTCTGTGTGCGTATCTGTGTGCAGATATTGTGTAAAACAATGAGTTACTAAGTGTAGCTTAGATGTGGTACAAGGCCGCAATTATGGAGCACCTAGTTAGTATTATTGTTCCAGCGAGACAAGCTTGCTAAACATTACAGCACGCCGACGTGCCAAGTAAAACGCTGACCTCTCCACGAATGTAGGATGTGGCACAAGGTCGTTCTTAATGTGGGCTGCCCATACATGTACATATAGGACAAAGTTAAAGATCGATTGCCTCATGAATAGTGTCATGCTGATGTTAGTACTCGCCAGACCACCCTCTCTTACGTGTAATTAGGGAGGTGCTGACACAGCGTTTAAATCTTTGGGGCAAGGCATCCCTCATAATTTTAAGGAGGATATAGGGCAGATATTACCCTTGGTCTCAGCTCGAAGGCCGCATTTATAGAGCACATAATATTTAGTTAGAAAAACTTGCTAACCATTGCAAAATAAAACGTTGGTATCAAATAAATACGGTAAATGTTTTATTATTGTTCAGTTTAGTGGGTCTTGAATATTCAACTTTCAAAATAAAGATAAAAAAGAAAGAATGTGTCTATTTTTTATTCATTTCCAATTTGGTCTTTTATGATTTTTATAAATAAGCAATTGCTATACCAGTAGCATCTATACTTGCATTGCTTAATTATTCAAATAATTTTTTTTTTGCTACCTTGGAAATAAATACGACGTCTGCATTTAGATCACAGTTTGGGAATAAAGGGAATTAATTAAAAGGATATACAAGGAGCATAATGGTTATCGGGCGCAGAAAGTAAAATCGGTGAAGCGAGTTCAAATCCACGTCTAGTCTGTTGTATTTACTTTTGCACAAATATCATCGCGAAAGGCATGAATCCATCTGTTAAACCACTTGAATATCAATCATTCTAGAATAAGGAGTATCATGAATTCAAAACCGTGGTAAAGACAACGGAAAACCACTTGAGTAAGTTTACAAGTCATAACAATTCATAAATAATAAAGGAATGAATCTGTGGAGAACCTTAGTCAATTACGTACTAAAGAGACAATGCATTAAAAAAAGGAATGGATAAAAGGAAAGTATGTAATGTCCACATTTTTGTATATTTTTAAATATTAACAGTTATTATATAAGAGGTTATGATATTATAACGTTCCATTTAAGAAATTATGTTATTATGTGAATTTATATGAAATTATAATATAACGCGCCGTATCTCTATCTATAAAAGCAGGATGTGTGTGTGTGTGTGTAGCGAATGCACGGCCGCAATTTTCGACGGATTTGCACCAAAATTTACATGCACATGCTCCAAGCTAGTGGATAGGCCAAGACCGACTTTGCATTTCCATCGATAGTGGAAATAATCGATTTTTTTCATGCTTCTACGGCAGTTTTCATGTAGTTTGCGGTCATTTTTTATTGGTCAGAGTGGGAGCCTATAGCTGGCTGCCACGAATAGGCAGAAAGATTCTATTGGCCAGCGTGAGAGCCAACAGCTGACTGATACGAATGTTAACTAGCATGCTAACCTGCAAAAAAAAAAAAAAAAATCGATAGCTGCATTCGTCACAAGTGGGAAAAATTTAAATCTGCATGGCACTTTACTCCAATTGGCTCATTCGCTTGCTTAAACTCAACGTTGATTCTGATTCCGCAGAACTGGGTTGGGTGTAAAAAAGTATTTGTTGTTAATATTCTTTTTTCATTCAGTTTTTCCAGTTACGAGTCCTTTTTTAAAGCTGATCGTTTTGTGTTCATTTTGTTTAGTTCTTTTTTCGTAATAGATTTAATGTTTAGTATAGAGCTTAGAAAAAATTCGCAGTGTGAGATAGGCAAGAAGTAAGGCATGTAGCAACATCAGCACGGCAAACGGCACTCCTTTAAAGGCAAGGAAGGGCAAAAATATTTTAAGTCAAGTGATAGCGATTGCTGTATGAATCGTACGATTTTTGAATCAAGCACGGGCAACGCCTGGCCATGCTGATAGTATGAAATCAAGGACTACCAAATTATTCAACCATATTGAACTGCCTTAACAACAACAGTTTCGTTAATACCATTTTATCACATACGAAAATCTCAAAGAAACGATAGTGTTACGCATCTGAAGAAAAGAAATAAAGTTGGCCCGCACAACGCCGGGTATGGTTACTAGTTATCCATATTTTTTGGTTAGTCATTCATAATTAAGTTTAATACATATAGTAATCATTCGGACAAGATATTTATTAATAAACAGGTTGAGGTGGAAATCATCGAAAAAGCCTGATTTAAGGAATGTTTCATTTTTTTTAACATAGACTGTTCCATTTAATGAATAACGTTGTTTTTAGCTTTGTTTTGTCGCAACCCATTCGTCAAATTTGATTGGTCATTAGTCAAGCTCGTATCACTCGTTGGAATAATTCAGTGTTTAGAAAGGAGGTTCGTCAAGCTTTGGCTTGGTAATAGTTTTTTTTTAACATAAAATCCACTCGAGATAACAAAATTAAAAAGTTCAGTACTTTATTTGAAGGTAACTTTATACTTGTAAATTGTGTATTACGTGTTGACTCGTTTTAACAGGGGTTTTCGACCCACGTATTGACATTACTCGTGTCTTCTGCTTACTCCAAAAATTCTCAGTTCGGTTAACGTTTGAACTTTATGTTGTTCGCTATAAAACGTTGATATTATTGTCCTTTTTTTTCTTTTAACAAATTTCTGACCATTTTTGATGCGTGTTTTTCGGTCATTGTCTTGTCGGAAGGTCTGCTAATGGCTCAGCCGTGTTGATGTTTTGCTCCAAAAGCTGAGTATATTCTTTCTTCGTGGCAAACTTAATCAACAAACCAGCCCACTGGCTGAAAAACATTCCTGCAACATAATTCTGCCATCAGTATTTTTATTGTTGGGACAATGTTCTTTAGATATTTCTTTTTAAATTTCTGCATGTTTCTTTAATATATTGTGAGGAACCGTTTTGGTAACTTATTTTATCTATGCCTGCTTTTGAAATATTATGGTAATGGGTGTCTTTAGATCCAGACAATATTTCTGCACATGAAAAATTCTCTTCAAACATAAATGTAAATGACGTAATCTTTCAGTTGATCCAATGAATATGAGCGTTTTAAAATTCTATTAAGTAACATTTTTTTTTGTTTATTGCTGCTTTGTTCAAATAAATTCAACTTTTTTTTTTTTTTTTTTTTTTAACTTGAAAAAGTACGTAGTGTATGAAACGCGTCGGCTAAAACTACATACGTTTTCCTATTGTCTTTTGTTTTTCATTTATAAATATTATCCTACAGATTAATTTTGAAATTATTTTACATATACCGGGTGTGACAGCAAAATTGTCCAATTGTTAGATTAAGTTTTGAACCGTTACATCTTAGAAATGATTAGATATCGTACTGAAATCTTCCGAGGTTTTTATAGCACTATTGGACTCTTTTTGCACAATAAGAATGTATTTAGCTGTAAGTTGAAATGATGATCCCTCTTCCTGTTCCAGTTTTCTTGTCTACCGCTCACTCTCTTTTTCTGTTTTTTTAACTTTTTCACCGTTCTCATCATGGTTCTTGAATGGACTTCGGAGGTGGAAGTTCGTACAATTACTGAAGGCCTTTTTCGTCTCACCATTGCCCATTTGCAAAGACATGGATCTGACACAAAACGATTATAACCTGTTCTCTTTTTAGCTGCATAACTCAAAGGATTTTTTTTCTTCAGTGATTCTTATGACAAATGGCGTCAAGATGGTTAAACGTCTATGAAAAACCTGGAAAAAAAAAAAAATTTTTTTTTTTGTTGTTTGTTTGTTTTTTTTTTTTTTTTTTTTAAACATTTTATGGGATGGACAATTATTCCATGCTGTTACACCCGAGATATAATATATATATATATATATATATATATATATATATATAAATAAATGTATATTTGAGTTGAAACCTTTTCTTTGTTTGCTACCATAGGCATGTTCATGAGTACCTCCCACACTCTGCCAATTGTCATGGTCGCAGTGTATACTCACGTAGGGAACAAGGCGGATGTGTGTGCTCCTACTAGAGAAAAAAACAAAACAAACTATGACGCCATTTCTACGTTTTGTTATGTACTGGTCACGAGATTTATCTGTAAAAGATTTTTCTTAGTTGCACAATTGCTCATCAATAGTAATACATGTATTGAATATTAAACTTATTTCTCCTACATTTGTGGAGTCCATTCACATAATATGCCTAAAAGCAAATGTATTAATGACACGTACATCTATAATGGTTATTTATATCTCTGTTCGCGTTTTTTGCGATGCGGTCCAGTTTACACAGGGAAACCGATAATGTAGACCTACATGAAAAAGGTTTGCTCAAACCTGATCTATACCATGATCTTTTTATATTCTTTATGAAGTAAGAAAAGGATTTTAATTAGAATTTCTTATCTTCTTCGATGGTTTGTGATAAAGTGTACTTGTTTATGATCTGTATGTGAACCACAAATAAATAGCTATCGTTGATAGGGGTTATGTTTTATATGTATACTAACACTCACTTCCTGCGTATGTACACGAATGCTCGTGAATTAAATTTAAGATTTGAATTCTCCGGTGGATGCCAGTAAATAACATTGTATTTAAGTGTCCAATAACTCCTTTTTAGTGATGTATTTATGCAGGCAAATTAAAAAAAAAAAATGATAAAAAAAAAAAAAAAAATAAAGATATTTAATAAAGTCAAATTACGAAGAATCGTGAAATTAAGTAGAAAGAATGGAGAAAAAAACAGAAATGGCGGCGGGTAACTTGCAAGACGGGAAAGAATAAACAAAAGAAACGGAATTAATGATAAATGTAGCAGTAGAAAAAGATGAAAAAATAAAAAGGGAAAATAAGATAAAATAAGGCTGAAGAAATATCATAAAAGAAAGAAATAAAGAATCAACCAACGGCGTAAAAACGAACAGATGGTAGGGGGAGGTGAAAGAAAAGAAAGAAAAAAAAGGAAAACAAATAGAAATGAATGGAAGAAAGAAATAAGGGCAGGACTGAAAATAAATCAATAAAAATCTGCAAAAAAGAAGATGAAAGTCAAATAGAAGGAAAGGTAAGCGAAAAAAGACCTTAGGGTTGAAAAAGAAGAACAGAAATAGTAAAAAAAAATAGTGGAAAGATAAAAAAAGAAAAATAACAAAAAGGAAATAGAAAAGAATTAAAGAGAGAAAAAGTAAAAAGACAATTAAAAGAAAAAGCAAGTTGGAAAAGAAAATAAAGAAAAAGAAAGAAAAAAAGAAACAGAAAGATACCAAAGACGGAAGAGAGAAAATAATGGAAACAAAGGAGTAAGTAACTTGCAAACTGAATTCGCTTTGTATAATGAGTTGGTATAATGAACGATTCGCAGACTGGATTCTGACACGCACAGAAACAAACTGACAGAGATCCAGAGGGTGATGGCATTGAGGTGGGGGATAAACGACGTATAATGAGAATATAGCCGGCGCCGTTTAGAAACAGAGTAGAGAAAAGACAACTTTGGGCAGTGACTTCTTAATGTCACAACTGAAATAGTACCTAGAGACATGCACACAAGATACATTACATATGTAGAGATTCTTATATATAGGAGACATATATATATAAACAAACGTGTAAATGCATACACACCTAGCACACACAGAAAGCACACGCATATACATAAACATGTATAAACATTGTGAACATAAAGAACCCAACATTGCACGATGACTGGATATTTTACGCCTTAAATAATCATCAGACTATCTTTACTTTACTTGACTATCTTACTCCTCTTTGTGTGGCTACTTCTTTCTATCTGTATGAGACAAAATTAGAAAAGCTTACAAAACGACGCGTTTCTTCGACGTCTGTTAAGCTCAGCTTCTTCAGGTTAGAATTGTTTTGATTGTTTGAGGTGTATTTTTTTTTTGCTAGTAGAAGCGTTTATTCCGAGCCTTCAAATTTTGAGCACGGTAAGAATTAAGAGTCCGTGCCTTTTGTGTTTTTTTTTTTAAAAAAAAAAAAATTTCAGGTTTAACAATTTCATTCCTCTGATCAATTTATTACAAAACTACGCTGAAGAAACTGAGATTAACAGACGTCGGAGAAACGCGTCGTTTTGTAAACTTTACTACTTTGTCTCATCATCTCATCTCCACGTCGTGTAACAGCATAATTATCCATCCCAAAAATGTTTAATATATATATATATATAAACAATAACAAAAAACACTAAATCAAGCAGGGTAGTGTTCTGACAGAGGACGGTAAGTGTGAGGCTGAGGTCCGAAGACGTATCGGGATGGCCAAAGACGCATTCCAAAAGCCAGGCAGAGTATGACGAGACAGGTGGGTTTCGTTTGTAACAAAGAAAAGAGTACTGAACTGCTACGTGATATCTGTCCTCCTTTACGGCAGCGAATGTTGGACGGTCTCCTCAAAGATGAAGAAGAAGACTCGATGCAACAGAGGTGTAGCTCTACAGAAGGATGCTAAGGATACCCTGGATCGAACATGTGAGGGTTTGGAGAGGATCGAAACAAAAAAGAAGCTCATCATTAACATCAGGAAGAGGCGGCTGAAATTTCTGTGACACGTGATGAGAAAGGAGGGTCTTGGAAAATCTGATAATCATAGAGTAGATAGACGGAAAGAGGGACAAGACGTGACATACTTAACGGGTTTAAGCAGGTGGATGGCAGAAAAGGGCCTGGGAGAAATAACATAAAACAGAATTTATTGAGAGCTACAAGGGACAGGAAGAAATGGAGAACCATGATCGTCTATGTCCCGAAGGAACACATCGCATAAAAGAAGAAGAAACTAATTGAGTTTCTTTTTTCCGGGTTTTCAGATAAGACGTTTAGCCATCTTGACACCATTTGTAAGAATCACTGAAAAACACTTTCAGTTATTCAGATAAAAAGAGAGCAGATTAAAATTGTTTTGTGCCAGACCCCTGACTTCCTAACTGAGCAATGGTGAGAGGAAAAATATCATTCAGGCCTTCAGTAATGGTACCAACATTCATACTCTGGCTTTCATCTTCAAAGTCCATTCAAGTACCATGAAGAGAAAGATGAATAAGTTTAAAAAAGAGGGAACAGTAGAGAGGAAATCTGAATCAGTAACAACAGGAAGAGGAATCACAATTTCAAATTAGAAATAAAAAGATCAATTAGAAAAGATCCAACTCAATTCATAAGACGTTTCGCATGTGAGAGAGGATCTATGACAGCCTGAAGAGTAGCGAAAAAGACTTGAAAATGAAATCGTACGTGTTAGTCCAGGATAGAAAGTTAGAGAGGGTGACGACCATCTTGAATAAGTTGAAAAATGATCCTGGAATAATATATATATATATATATATATATATATATATATATATGAACTTTATTTCAATCCTTCGTGAGCTTCCGATCCTTAGCTATGATTAATTAATGATGAACATGCCATATTCGTTTATGATTGATTTCATCACGATACGAGTCCAATAGTGTTATAAAAACCTCGGAGAATTCCAGTAAGAGATCTTTAATCATTTCTAAGATACAATGGTTCAAAGCTTAATCTAGCAATTTCACAATTTTGCTGCTACACGATGTGGACAATCTTTCTGTTACACCCAGTATATACGTATGTATATATGCACATGTGTGTGTATATGTAAATACATGCAAGTAAATCAGTAAGCTCGGAACGTAAAGCTGAAACAAGCATTTATTTTAAAATACTAATTATTTTTAATATCATCTACTTCCCTGGAAATGCGCATAGTTCAGTGGTACCAGCCTTGACAGAGCTCAAAAGCGTTTACGCGGTCTTGCGGGTGATGAATTGCTTTCCACAGATGAAATATCACAAACCTACAGCGAGTCCTTCGCTATTTCCTTGACAATGGTCAGATGAGTTACTTAGTTCCACCAGTTCAGACTTTTATATCTAGGACGCACTCTGCCATGTACACATTCTCACTCCGTTCGTATTTTATTGGTAAGAAGGAAGTTCCATTCAGCTTCTTCCTGACGCATTGGTTGCAAAGGCAAAAGATCTAAAGTAGGCGTGCGGGTCAAGTGAATTTTTGGGCATCCGAAAGGCACATGGATCAAACGCGTTTTTAATTTTATCTCAGAGCCATTAAAAGGAGTTACGTTTAGCTTAAAACATTTTGAAATTGCAAGTGCTGAAAATCTCAGCTTTTAAAAACTCAGCTTCAAAAAAAGCTCAGGTGACCGCAAAATAAAGTCCGCCGGCCTGGCACCTAGCACTAAAAAAAAACACCCAGGAATGTGGCCCCAGCGGTTTTATGGCATTTTTATGTGCACTGTAAAAAATGAAAGGCAACTTTTTAAAAAATTTGGAAGGAACCTTGTTTCACTCATTCAAATTGTGATACTTTTTTGAAAATACATTATGACCATTACAATGGTGAAAATATGGTGCAATCATTTATTCAACAAGTCTAAACTTGTCTATTTTGGCCTGAAAAAAAATCTAAAATTTAAAAGTGTAAAAGGCCTCAATCAATGGCCTTAGTTTCATCCCTAGTATCCGGGAATACGAGTGACCAGCTATTATATATAATGACAATAAAAAGACGGAGACTTTAATTATCCATTTCGATTATAAATTTATTTCGTGAACACCGAGATGTTCAACTCTTCGGGTCGAAATCGTTGAACATCGAAATGAATAATTAAAGTCTCCGTCTTTTTATTATCCTTATAATGCTCTGTAGTCTACATTGAACTCTCCCTGGATTTATATCCTCCTCGGAATTATCCCATCCACTCACAAACTGATAAGATATATATATATATATATATATATATATATATATATATATATATATATATATATATATATATATATCTTACTATGATTGTGATTTTGAGTGGGTACACATGTTTGAGGAGACATCCTTGTTTCTTAAACATTGAAATTAAAATCTACTGGTCGAAAATCTGAATAAAAAAGGTAGCCCTCGATATGAATCGGACCTGTATTCATTTTTAAATTTAGAAAACAATTTTCAAGTCAACTTTACTATTAAGCTATACGAAACTACCAGAGCAGAACAATCCATAATTACCCAGTTAAGAAAGTTGGCATAAATTTCGGTAGAGAATTTCACTGTTTAAAAAAAAAAATAAAAGGGTTGTCTACTCAAACTAAATATATCGCTGCGTGTAATAAGAAATAATACTAAGTGAAAAAATATTAATTTGTTAAAAAATACTTTGTTTCGGGCACGAAAATAAAATTAACACACACACGCACGCACACACACGCACACACACATATATATATATAAGGTATATTTAGGCTGAAAGCATTCATCCATGTCATAGACGAACAAATAAAATTAGTCTTAACGAAATTTAGAAAAAATAAAGCAAGACACTTCCCTGATGCAAACCAAATTAACACACCATTAACTTATTCTATCGTAACCAAAATGCAGCCTAATTATAAAACGGATGAAAAAGCAATCAAAAACATAATTTGTCGATATATATCCCTCAGTGATCCTAATCATCTATTATAAAAAGTTTAAAATATAATCTAATTATTACCAACAATACAGGACCTCAAAAATCTCCCCTGTGTAAAAATAATGTTGTCTATTAATTTTCATACCATATGGGAGCTTGCTTTTACAACATTAATAATAAAATGCATTAAATTCTTACATCAGGCACACATGCACCACACCCTCTCGCAGACTGACCTATCGTCAGCAGAAACTCAGTGAAAACCGTGCACATATAGACCAGTACGTCATAAACGACAAAGTATAACTATCAACATAAGACAATTATTAGTGGATAGTACTAAGATAATCTACAACCTATTATGCAAAATAAACAATCCACGTTGTATAAAATATCATTCAACACAGGAGACGGTAACTTGAAGTACATAATATATTTATTGTGCACACACACACACACACACACACACACACACACACACACACACACACACACACATATATATATATTTGTGTATTTAGGCAGCAAATGTCTGCTAATTTTTAACAAAATCCTTTCATACTCACGAATAACCTTCCGTGTATTGTTTTTAAATGATGAAAGAAATGTACTATAGCTGTTTAATTTTTCTTTTATTTTCATTTCTCAAGTACTTTCGATCTTCTTCCAAGATCATCTTCAGGGGTGCAAGTAGTACAAAACATAATGGATAATTTTTTCACGTTCTAATGAATGCTCAGCACATTTCCAACCATTTTGCATTTAAAAGCATAATTAAAAAATTACGGTAATGCATAACAACGCACAGATTTATATAAATACTTGTACTAATAAACAACATATAGTTTTGTACTACTTGCACTTGGGAAATGAAAATAAAAGAAATTTAAACAGCTATAGCACATTTCTCTCATCCT